CACCTTTATTTTCCGGACTGGGTGTGAAGGATCTTCTACATGCTGTAAGGCGTGAGGAGACTGTAGAGCGCTGTGGGTTTTGAGGCGCTCCTCGGGGAGCAGAACTCGGGGGGATTTATTTTAAGGAGTTTGGCCAAATCTGAGACACCCTTTCTTCTGTAATATGGATTTCTCATTAATGGGTATTTTTATCTCTGCCCTGGAGTGGGGTATAATTAGAGCCTTTCTGAGAGGAGAACCAGAGTCATCATCAAAGATCTGCTCTCCTCATTCTGCTCTGCTCTGTGTTTCAGCCGCAGTTTCAGCAGTTTTAATGCAGGGACACACTTTCAGCTCTCAGCCTGAGAAAAACAGAAGCTGTAGTTTACAGACACAATTTGACGAGGCCTACAACAAAAAGTGAAACGCTAAGAATGATCTAACATAATACATAATCTCACAAATAATTTTATGGTAAAGAAAATGAGCATTTTTTAGGATTTTTATGCTGTAATCATTTTGTAAGCTTTATATTTACTGTGAATTAACTTCATCAGTAGTAAAAGTATATTTTTTCTCAGTAACTTGTATTTTTTGTCATTTCTTTTAAAAGCATGAATAAAAAGGTTAATAAACACAAAGGACAAAAACTACAATACACTTTTTGTAAGTTAGGGTTTTGGATTACAGCCCAGTCTGTCCTGATTTTCAGTTTCAGTTTCAGCCAAGAACTACAGAAATTTAATTTCAGTGCATCAATAATTTAGAATCAGGTGGTTGAAAGCAGGGCTCTCAAAGTACCAGCAATGTAGAGCACTAACCATAACTTTACATTAAATTCAAATCAACATTTTTCAACTCCTCTTGGTGCTACAGAACCCTGTACACTAATAATCCCAGACATAGGGGCAGTTTCTTTCCTCAGGCCATCACCCTCATAAACAGCTGACCAGCAGTATCACCTGCTGGGCCACAGCTACTCCTGTCTTTTCTGAATAGTCATTACACCCTGCTTCACATCCAGACCACTGTACACCACAATATAATTACCATACATGATGTACACAGCTATTGTGTGCACTACCATATGTATGTTGCTTGAAACCACATTCCTTCTGTGTGTAAACATACTTGGCCAATCGATCTGATTTTAATTCTGATTCCGATCATAGTAAAATATCTGCTCTTCTACAAACTAATGTGGATGAAAGTTTAGAATTTGAACTTTTCACACAAAATCTCCACTTGTTTCAGTGAGCTATGAAGAAAGAATAATCAAGTGAAACTTATGAAGGATCTAGGAAAACTAAAGTGAATAAAAGTTAACCCCTTAACTAGGTAGTTTTATTACACACCTCTATAGCCTAAGAACAGCTCTATTAGTTAAGTCCCTGTAGTTACTGAATAATAAGCCTTTGTATGAAATATATAAAACACACTGTGCAAAATATCGTAGCCCGCTACTGTACTGACACTCTCACTGCGCACGTTAGACTGTAAATACTGCTGATATTTCTAGCTGTGTTTATACTAATTGTGTTGTAAACTTCCTCATACCACTTAGTGCAATACCTGCTCTCATGTAATACAACAACCTGTCTTATATTGTAGGCTTTTTCTACTCTTTCACACTTTAACTTATGTCTCTTTTTTTACAACCCTATTCCCGAAAAAGTTGGGACGTTGTGCAAAATGCAAATAAGAACAAAATGCAATGATGTGCAAATCATTTAAACCATGTATTTCATCTAGTTGTGTAATGCTAAAAAAACACCTGGTGGTTGATTCACAACAGGTCAGTAACATGATTGGGTATAAAAGAGCATCTCAGAGAGGCGGAGTCTTTCAGAAGTAAAGATGAGGAGGGTTCACCACTCTGTGAAAGACTGCACGATCAAATAGTGCAACAATTCACGAATAACTTTCCTCAACGTAAAACAGCAAAGAACTTTTGCTTTTCATCATCTACGGTACATAATATCATTAAAAGATTCAGAGAATCTGGAGAAATCTCTGTATGTAAGGGACAAGGACAAAAACCAGTATTGGATAGCTGCAATCTTTGGGCCCTCAGGCAGCACTGCATTAAAAACAGACATGATTCTGTAGTGGAAATCACTGCATGGGCTCAGAAACACTTCTGAAAAACACTGTCTGTGAACACAGTTTGTCGCTGCATCCACAAATCCAAATCCACTAATTAAAACTCTAAAACACAAAAAAGAAACCATAAATAAACAGGATACAGAAACACCGCCGCATTCTCTGGGCCCGAGCTCATTTAAAATGGACTGAGCTGAAGTGGAGAAGTGTCCTGTAGTCCGACGAATCAACTTTTAAAATTTTTTGGAAATCATGGACACTGTGTCCTCCGGGCTAAAGACCACTCAGCTTGTTATCAGTGCACAGTTCAAAAGCCAGCATTCATGATGGTATAGGGGGGTATTAGTGCACATGGCATGGGTGACGTGCACATCTGTGAAGGCACCATCAATGCTGAATGATATAGATACATGTTTTGGCAACATATGCTGCCATCCAGACGACGTCTTTTTCAGGGAAGGCCTTGATTATTTATACAGTGTCAAACCACATCCTGCATGTGTTACAACAACATGGTTCCATAGTAAAAGAGTCCAGGCACTAAACTGACCTGCCTGCAGTCCAGACCTGTCACCACTGATTTGGCGCATTGTGAAATGAAACATATGACAAAGGAGACCCCGAACCATTGAGCAGCTAAAATCCTATGTCAAACAAGAATGGAAAAACTACAGCAGTGTCTCCTCAGTTCCCAAACGCTTACAGAGTGTTGTTAAAGAAGAGGTGATGAAACACAGTGGTAAACAGGCCCCCATCCCAACTTTTTTGGAACGTGTTGTTGGTATCAAATTCAAAATGGGCAAATATTTTTCAAAAAACAATAAAATTTCTCAGTTTCAACATTTGATAGTTTGTCTTTGTAGTATTTTCCTGATTTGCACATCATTGCATTCAATTTTTATTTACATTCTGCACAGCGCCTCAACTTTTTTGGAAATAGGGTTGTATTTCTGTCTAATTCATGTCTATTTTATGTCTATTTTTATTTCTGTCTAATATATTGCTGTTGTCGGAACAAAACCTTGTATCTCTAAAATGAGAACTTTTGAGAATGAAGTCATTTTGGGCCATTTCTTTTAGTCCAATCATCATACAATTCACACATAATGTAAAGGGCAACAGGCATTTTCAAATAATGTAAAAAACTGAAAAACAACAAAAATGGAGACACAAGGTTTTGTTCCAACAGCAGTGATAAGTAAGTTTACGTGCAATTATATGTAATACTGCAATTTCCCCTCAGGATCAATAAAGTTCTATCTATCTATCTATCTGTCTATCTATCTATCTATCTATCTATCTATCTATCTGTCTATCTATCTATCTGTCTGTCTGCCTGTCTGTCTGTCTGTCTCTGTCTATCTAAACCTGGAATGTTAAGGGGTTAAAACTTGACATGTGTTACAAACAAAAATGGCCTCTCGTGTTCCTTATTGAAACTGTTGGTTTTGCTGAGGGAGTTTAATTCTGGGAAAGTGAAGCTGCGTGTGATTAGCCTGATTAGCTTTTCACCTCGCCGCAGAGTACAATCGGAAACTTTCCACCTCTGAGCGCCACAAATAGAAGCGTTAGCCAAGTTTAACCAAGATCCAATTAGCTCTAAATACTACACGGATCCATTCATAGAGTCCCCACAGCGCATACTGAGCTGAGCTCCAGACAAACTCTTACTGTGTTGTGTAACGAATGATGGGGAGAGAAAATACAAACAAAGTCTAGTTTCATTTGTCTCATCTCAGTGCAGTGTGCTGTGCAAAAGCCAGAGACCACCTTTCATTGATTTCATTTCCAGTCAAAATTTCTGATGAGGTTAGATCTAACAAAATCCACTGGCACATAGAAAATCAAAGGAGAAAAAAGGAGAATCTTTCCCAAACTAGAGAGAAAATGTGCCTCCTAACAACCACCTGGAAGACCTGCTAGACACCAAAACTGCCCCCATCAGATAAACAGCACTTAAAGCTTTCATCTCTGAGAGAGAGGAGAAAGTCAAGCTGCTTCAGATCTGAAAACATCCACAGGTGTTTCTGTCCATCCTTCCACTGTGAGAAGATGACTCAGCGCTGTGGGTCTGAAAGGATGTGTAGCTGTTCAAGAAGAACCTCACTGAGAAAAGGAGACGGACACATCAAACAAAGAAGCTGAACGATGGACTGACCACCACTGAATGTGTTTGATTACTTCAGAAAATGATCAACCAGCTTCTAAGACTGAACTTGTGGAAAAATATCCCAGCAGAAGTTTCCCAAAAAGAATGGAAGCTGTAATAAGGGCAAAGTGTGGATACCTTAAATACTGAATACTGAAATGATATTTTAGTTTGTGAGTTATGAGTTTTGTGTTTTTTCTTGCCCTGAAAAATGAATAACTTGTACTTAAAAGCCATTTTTATTGGAAATTAAATAAATGAAGACGTCTCTGACTTTTGCACAGTACTGCATTTACATAAAGCCTTTAGATTAAAGTGTGTATGATAAGCCTGTAGTTTACAGGGTTAAATCTTGGGGTTATTATACTTTGCGCTAATTTCGGCACTGGAATGTGTGCTATTTCCATGCACCTGTTTCAGGTGAGGAAAAGCAGCACAAACCTCCTTTGGGGGACAGTGACTAAATTTAGCTCTTCAGCTCTAAGGCAGGACCCAGTAATATGGAGCTGAGCTGTGTTTGGTGCAGGAAGCTGCCCGTCTTGCTGGGGGTGCTTCTGATTGGCTAGCAGCTCAGACATGGAGGGATAATCCCTGTTTACAGAGCCCGAGAGAGAGAGAGAGAAAGAGAGGCTGACTGCAGCTGATTCACTCTCAAATCCGCTCTGTGTGAAGTGTCTGTGCTGAGCTGTAGGAGGGAGCGACCTGCACTGAACGTCCATTCACTGCCCGTATTTGGATTTCACTCACATCCAATGGAGCTTTAAGTGAGAAACTGCTTGGGATTTTTTTCACCGCAGCTGTAGCCATGGGCACCGTTCTGTCCATCTCTCCGTCCTCAGGGAAAGACTCAGGGCTGGACAATGGGTCAGAAGTGGCTGATAACAATGGGAAAATCCTAAAGAAACCGTCCATCATCGTGTCCACTTTTGCTTTTACACGGCTGGTCACCGCTTCGGCCAAGAAGAAAAGTGCCAAGAAAGTGAACCCCAATTCTGCTGCTCAGCCTCAGGTAAGCAATGGACAGGTAGATCAGCATACTTATATATACACACTGCAAGAATGGTGTCTTGTCAAGTAAAATTATCTTAAATATAGTTGATAAATCTAATATTTCTCCTGCTGAGATTGTTGTAAGCATAATTTAAGATTATTTAACTTATTTCTAGACATTGTCTACTTGTTTTAAGTAATTTTATTATTTATTATTTTTTTGGACTATTTCTGTTGGCCCATTCATCATGAAAAAAAAGGGTGACTGAAGTTTTCAAATTACACAGAAAATGAAAAGATATACAAGGCTTATGTGCAAAAGTGGTAATATATATATGGTTGTCGGAACAAAACCTTGTATCTCCAAAACGGTAACTTTACAGGAGAAGGAAAAAACATACTTCACTTTCAATGTAAGTCAATGGACCCAGACTGTTTGTCCAAGTAATTTTGTTATATTTCTTTGGTCCGTTCATCATGAAATTTACACTCAATGTAAAGGACAACAGGCATTTTCAAATTATGTCAAAAACTGACATATATATAAACAAAAAAAAAGCCATAACTTTTGCACAGGCCGCGTTCAGTGTTTTTATTTTGTCCCCCATTATGACTGGGGCGCTTAAACTTTTGCACACGACTGTATATTCGCCCCATCAAGTGTCTGGACATTTGTGCCATTGTAGCGTATATTTAAAAGGGACCAATCCAAGACCTTTCAAGAGGCGGATGAGTTTCAGATCTTTATTTCTTTGCAGATCTTCTGCAACTTTGAATCCAAAAATGTCTTCATATATATATCATATATGTCTTCATATAGTTCATGATCTGATCAGTGAACATAAACTCAGCAACAGCACTGTGAGAAAAGCAGCTCATTTAAGGAGTAACCTAAATAACTGTATTAAAGTTTGACAAATGGTTAATTAGTGCCCAAATACTTTTTGGTATCACTTTTTATCATACTTTTACTTTTTTATTTGTAAATGAAATGAAACTGAGACTTCTTACATTACATTACTAAATGTTTATTGGGCCTCATTCACTAATATCTTCCCTAGTTCGTTCTTAAACGTGTTCTTGATAAAGGTCCTAAGAAAAAGTCTACATCAGATTCATGTCGTGTTCTTAAAGCGCAGAACTGTTCTCCCCTTTGTGCTCTTGAGTGTGTGTAGATTCTGTTTTTACCTAAGAACAAACCCCACATAAGAGAACACTGGTGAATCAGAGTCTTCGTGAGAACTATTGAAGTGGGTTTAAGAAGAATTTTCTTCTTAAGAACAGTTGGTGAATGAGGCCCAATGGTATTATTTGCTGATGCTTAATTGACTGTATATTTCATAGCCCATATACAGTTAGATGCAAAAGTTTATACACCCCTGTTCAAATGACGTTTTGTTGATTTGCCAAGTGTAGATAAGTCAACACATCATCTACAGAGATTAAATATGTCAACTGTCTTCAAATTTTAGTGCATGATTTCTATGTATTTGCTAAACTTAACATATTGGGGGAGTGGATTATAAAATGTGCCATAAATTTTGCAAATGCCACATTTTATGTTTTATTTTTTTCCTCATTGTTAAATTCAGTGTAAATATATTGTCTTGTATGTCCATTTTTTCATTTTAAAAAGTCAGTTGTTGCTTATAATGTGTTAAAATAATGTGTTATCATAAATAATTTTGGTTTAAAATAACATTTAAAATATATTATATTATATTATATTATATTATATTATATTATATTATATTATATTATAGTTATTAAATGCGTTTTCCTTTTCCTTCAATCTTCTGTTTTTGTTTTTGTTTTCCACAACAGCAATGTGTTCATTTCTAAGGCTGTTAAATCCAAGCTTGTTCAGTTATCAATCTTAAGACTAATTATTTTGAAACTGTTGTACATGGTTTGGTAAATTACTTGGAAACGATGAAGCTGATGTGTAAGTTTGGTAGTTATATGAATGAGAAACTGAAGTGTAGTTTCACATGCAGAGCCTTAGAACCAGTTGACCAGTTAAGGATTAAGCCCATTTCTGGACTACACAGTATTCTGATAGAGTCTCCACTGAAAGGAAAATATAGTCCAGAACTAGGCTTAATCCCTGTCTGGACAACTGAGCCTTAGAGTTAAGGAGTTAATCCATTAGTCACTGTTTTATTTTGCTTTATTTAACACCATTTGAAAACATATGCTAACTGTCCTTTATATTAGGTTAATATTAATGATGAATGCACCAATAGAAGCATTATGAGGTTATATGTTTCACGTCAATATTTTATGCCAAAAGACCAAAAAAGGTCTCATTAACACGCAATAAAGTTAAGAATGTTTTTTTCCTTCTCCTATAAAATGACCATTTACCATTTTCCCCCCGCACATTAGCCTTTCGTGATGAACTGACCAATAGAATTGGAATAAAATTTTGGGTGATTTTTATTTCTTAGCATTTCATGATGAATGGCCCAATAGAAATCCTGCAAAATTACATTATAAATAAAATCTCATTACATTAATATGCATTAAAATTAAGATTTTCTTTCTATTTTCCTAAAAATTTCGAGATTTTCTTAGCACCACTGTGATATACCAGTGCCAAAGTGGAATTCCGATTTCATTTGAAGTCAATGGACAGTAAATCATTCTGACTCTGCTTGTTTTTCTCATTTCTGAAGAATGAAATTGTGAAGAAATCGTCGGCGCAGCAGACCAAAACCGCACCTGTCGCTGTGCCCATCCCGACGGTCCCTCCGTCTGAGAAACCCAACCCAGATCCGGTCCAGACTAAGTGCGTCCAGAAGCAGCCCAGCAGCCACTCTCTGCTTTCTCCGACACGAGTGATCGTCCAGGCTTCGACGGGGGAGCTGTTGCGCTGCCTGGGGGAGTTCATGTGCCGCCGCTGCTTCAGACTGAAGCTCAGCCCAAACGAGGTCATCCTGTGGTTCAGAAATGTGGACAGGACTCTGCTGCAGCAAGGCTGGCAGGAGCAGGGCTTCATCTCTCCGGCCACCCTGGTGTTCGTCTACCTGCTGTGCAAGGAAACAGTGACTGAGGACATTCAGAGCCAGAATGAGCTTCAGGGAGTGTTCCTCACCTGCTTGTACCTGGCCTACTCTTACCTGGGCAACGAGATCTCCTACCCTCTGAAGCCCTTCATCAGTGAGGGCAATAAGGATGTGTTCTGGGAGCAGTCTCTGGGCGTCATCGACAATCTGAGCGGCAAAATGCTCCAGATCAACATGGATCCGCACTTTTTCACCGAGGTCTTCCAGGACCTCAAAAACGAAGGCGAGACGAAGAAGGACGGGAGCGACGTGGACCGTTAAAACACATGAAAGAACAACAAAAAAAAAAAACAATGTGCATGAGTTTTACTAAAAAGCATTTACTTGAATAGTGGAGTCTGCTTGAGAGCACAGCAGATGCACTGGTTCCTCTAAATGGCATAGCAGGTTTTTTAAATCCGTCACATTATCTGTAACAGTATTAAAATACCTCCTGTTGTACTGTGACATGCAGTAGCAAATGCACTGAAAAAATGCATTGAAATTTTTGATTCAAGTACACTATATGGCTAAAAGTATGTGGACACCTATATAATCTCACTGGACATCCCATTGCACAACCTTGGGCACTAATATCCAATCGACATTCCAATACATTCCAAAGGTGTTCAGTGGGGTTAAGGTCAGGGCTCTGTGCAGGCCACTGGAGTTCCTTCACACCAAACTCGTCTAACTTTATAGAGCTCGCTTTGTGCACAGGGGCTGGAGCAGGAAAGACTCTTCCCCAAACTGCTGCCACAAAGCTGGAAGCGTATAATTGTCTAAAGTGTCTTTGTGCTGTAACATTAACATCACCCTTCACTGGAACTGAGGGGTCCAAACCCTGAAAAACAGCCCAGCCCATCATCCCTCCTCCACCAAACTTTACTGTTGGCACTATGCATTCCAGTAGGTAACGTTCTCCTGGAAAACCCAGATTCATCCATCAGACTGACAGATAGAGAAGCTGATTCATCACTCCAGCTTTATACCACTCCAGCCGACACTTGACATTGCGCGTAGTGATCTTAGGCTTGTGTGCAGCTGCTCAGGCATGGAAACCCATATCATGAAGCTCCTGATGCTCAGGTCTTGTGCTGATGTTGCTTCCAGAGGCAGTTTGGAAGTCTATAGTGAGTGATGCAACAGAGGACAGCCCCACTCTGTGTTTGCATGATCAGCCACTTCATGGCTGAGCTGTTGTTTCTCCTAGACGCTTCCATTTCACAATAATAGCACTTACAGTTGTCTGGGGCAGCTCTAGCAAAATTTTCACAAACTGATTTGTGGCAAAGGTGGCATCTTGTAACAGTGCCACGTTTAAAGTCACTGAGCTCATCAGTACGACCCTCTCCTGCCACATACTCTTGGCCATATAGTGTATGTCCGATATTTCTATATGAATAAAATATATTATAGCAACACGATTATTCGGCAAAGACATTCTGCTTGCCAGAACATTTGTCAATAATTGTGTTGATGTAACATATTTGGAGACACTTCAGTATAATGCCATTGTAATGCTCTCATTATGATAGCTAAGTAGCTGCATATTACCTGGCTGCTCATTTCCATTTTTTGTGTATTTCCAGACCACCTTTATTTGTATACATAAGGCGTACATCACAGTCTTGTGTACAAGCCTTACCTAAGCACTGGCTCTATAATGTGTTTCTTTTCAATGCCTCAAATACAAATCACTAGGTAGCACTAAATCAAGGCAGAATAACTTTCATTCATTTATCAGCCTCAACATTAGTGCGGTTCTTTATCACCATTGGTTGGATTCCCAGTGGTCATATGATGTATTTGCACAAAGCATGCTTGGTATTGTAGAACATGGGTATTGAGGGAACACTGATGGGCAATAAATGCTAAAAGGACACTCAGTGCTGCACTACTAAAACACAAAAGGCTGGTAATAAGAGCATTACAAGAACATTATTATACTGAAGTGATGCAGATTTTATTCACAACTGTTACTGTTACTGTTTCCAGCGTTGGGTTTACGGGTTTGGTGGCACCTCAATGCATGCAGGAAGATTTCTGTTTGTCGTAAACTACCTGAGCATCCTTTGTTACTGTGGGAATAAGTTTAAAATAAGTTTAAAAAAGGTTATGTTGATGTTTTCCTCATGTGTCACCCAGCACTGCCATCATGGGTGGATTTCAGCAGAACTGTCGGAGATGCTGAATCCATTGTAAAATGATGGGCTTCATTTTCTCTTCTAGTTTAGCGACAGTCAACACTGAGGATTCTGAAGATTTTGATTGTGCCAATTCATGTTCGGTTCAAGGATTCCAGTCTTGTTTTCTATTTGTTACAAAAGAAGTCAGCAGGTCAGATTACTGTTAGTTACTGAAGTTTATTTTTTGTCACTGTTTTCTTGCTTGAATGCCTGAATGAAATAAATCCCAGTCTATCTGCTGGTGGTGACTGTAATAGCCTGCGTCAGGCCTGTTTTTGTCTGTTCCTGTGAAGAAGCTCAGCTGTAACCTAGATTTGCATCGCATTCGCTTGGAAGAATAGAACTGAAGCACGAGATGCACTAAATGTGGAGTTTAAAAGAAGGAGGCAAAACAACTGGAAACAGTTTGTTAGGCTGTAGTTTGTATTGCAAGTATCCTAGATAGCACAATAGCTATCCCAGCTGAGGAGAAATGCCCTTGTAGAAGATCACGAGTCCTCATCAGGATCCGTTGCACTGGTCAGCTGTAGTGTTATTGTTCGCTTATTAGCTCATCTGAAGAGGCAGCTTTCGTTACTCATCCAACACAAAAAGCTACTGATATCCCTCGGCTTCTTTTTGCTGTTGTCTATGAACACTTATGAATACTGAAATACCAAAATCAGTCAGAATGCCCATAACCTCTACACCAGTGCAGGCTTATCTAGCTAGCTAGCATAGTGACTAATCCAGCAGTTTTCAAGGAATGAGATTTGTAACTTACTAAATCTTCAGCTAGATTACATATTGTACTAACTAGCAAACTGTATATCAAAACTTCATAGCCAGCTGGTTTAAGTTGTTTTGCCTCTTTCCTTTCAACACCACATCAACTAGGTGTAGCGTTGCAGTAATAACCATGCATTACCGCATCAAAACTGGCAAAATCTCACAAACAAGGTTGGAAATGAAAAATTTCATTAATTAAGTCTGGGAGTCCTAATTTAATCAGTTTTATTTGTGTTTTTTTTCTGTAATGTAATGCAGACAATATATCTAATATATCTGGATTTGATATTGTAAGAATATTAGAAGATTATTCAGCCAATTTCCAGACATTTTTACTTGTTCTAAGTGATTTTATCTCATGAAGGTGCTTTATTAAATTAGCTGATTGTTATACCTGTTTTGGGAAATAATGCAGATAATTTGGATTGTTTCAAGCAACAATGTTTGAAAAAAGTAAAATGATCTGCCGATGGAATGAGACACTTTCACTAGATAAAATTACTCAGAATGAGTAAAAAATGTCTAGAAATAAGTTCATTAATCTCATAATATTTTAACAATCTGATAATGAGAAATACTGGACACATTAAATAGATTTAAGATGGTAATATATCATGTTTTGCAGTACAGTATCTGAGCTAGTTGAAGGTGATGGGGAGGTAAAATGTGATATTATTGGTTAATATTATTTTGCCCCGCCCACTGGTGCATGGTGACATCAGAAATCAGAAAATCTGTTATAGGCAGCAAAAGTCGTATCAGATTTTTATGAAAGATTACAGGAAAACCAAAAAATTAGTCTTTTGCTGGTATGACATCATAAATCAGTCTTAATATTACCTAACTAAGGTAAAACAAATGTTTTTTTCCTTCTCCTAAATTTCCATTTCAGAGATATGAGGGTTTGTTACGACAGCGATGGTAAGTTACAAATATTAGATATTCAGCGAATGCAGCTCCATCTGATTTAACAATGTCATTGAAGAAGGACTTCAAAGATCAGATCAATCCTGTTAACACACACACGCAGCGCTGTGATCCACTTTGATGTTCCATCACAGGTGGAGGTGTTTTTGTCTCCTTTTCTCAGTCATTGTGTTTTTTAGCCAGTGCTGCACTGTTAAAAATAAAGGTTCTTCACAGGTTCTTGAATGTACAGTTCTAGGAAAAACCTTTATTTACTATAGAGCAGTGGTTTTTAACCTTTTTTGGAGTGGGCCCTTTTTGGGGTTAAGTTAGTCAATAATTATTAAATGGTTAATATATACTTTTAAGCAACAATAATCATTAATTGTACTCTGTTATAAAGTTGTGACTTTATAATGTACTTATAAAAATATATATTATCAATTATTATACTTTTTATTATACAACTGTTTCCAAAAAAGTTGGAACACAGTGTAAAACATAAATAAAAATAGGATGCAATGATATGCAAATCATATAAACCCTATATTTTATTAAAGATAGTGTTATCAATGTTATTGATTTTTGAAAAATATTTGCCCATTTTGAATTTGATGCCAACAACATGTTCCAAAACAGTTGGGACGGGGGCCTGTTTACCTCTGTGTTTCATCACCTCTTCTTTAACAACACTCTGTAAGCATTTGGGAACTGAGGAGACTCTGCTGTAGGTTTGAAGGTGAAATTGTTTCCAGTTCTTGTTTGATACAGGATTTCAGCTGTTCAACAGTTCAGAGTTTCCTTTGTTGTATTTTTCATTTCATAATATGCCAAATGTTTTCAGTGGTGACAGGTCTGGACTGCAGGCAGGTCAGTTTAGCACCCGGACTCTTTTACTGTGGAGCCATGCTCTTGTAATATCTGCAGAATGTGGTTTGACATTGTCTTGCTGAAATAATTAAGACCTTCCCTGAAAAAGACGTCGTCTAGATGGCAGCATATGTTGCCACAATCTGTATATATCGTTCAGCGTTAATGGTGCCTTCATAGATGTGCAGGTCACCCATGCCATGTGCACTAGTGCACCCCTACACCATCATGAATACTGGCTTTTGAACTGTGCTGATAACACGCCAGATGGTCCTTCTCCTCTTTAGCCCAAAGGATGCATTAATAGTGTCAACTTTGATATTATTCAGACTCAGATGTCTTTACAGTGGTGGTGATAGGAACCAGGGGTCACCATGACTACAACACAAATATAGACATTTTATTTACTATCCAGAACCACCAGTGAACCTACACGAGTCTTCTGAGTTTATATGGAATGTTTATGATGGAAAATATGTAATAATAAATGAGAAAATAATATGTTTTAAAAAATGTTTAACCTCACAACACACTGCATGTATCTATGGACCATGAATAGGCTTTAAATCCAAAATCTTCTCAATATTTTCATAAACAGTGTCTCAGTCATCAGGCAGTGAATTCATAACCATTTCCTGTAGTAACTTTCTGTGAGGGAGCTTTTAGAGGTGGACGTCTGGTTCCTATCACCACCACTGTGAACAGTTCTGACTCAGTAAGTTTCTCTAGAACAGAGCGTTTCACACCAAACCACTCTGAACGACTCTGTTTACATCTTAAATGATTTTAGAAAAAGCAGTGGAGTTCCCCTTTGATCCCAGTGGCCCCACTGCTGCAGCTTGCGCACCCAATGCAGCAAGACAAAAGACAAGAAGTTGTTCTCTACAGACAGTGTAA